AAGGAGCACAGGGCCCAAAGAACTAGAGAATGCTTGCTTCACCCAACAGCAGTCAAGGTCTTTGCAACTCCAGGTCCTAAACCTTTTATTTAATGCCTCCTCAGCCCTCTACCACATCCACTGCTCTGTAACTCTATTTCCTTAATATTTCTCTCCCGACCCCGTTTTTCTCCCTCCCCATCACAGCCTTAGTTTAGCCCGAGTCATTTCTCAGTTGGCTACCACTGATTTATTCACCATCATTTTTGAGTCTCTCCATGCTCTATAGCTGGAGCCAGAAAACTTGTTCTATAAAGAGTGAGAAAGAAAATATTCAGGCTTTCCAAGCCATAGTTTTCTGTCATAATTACTCAATTCTGCCAATGTAGCATATCAGTTTAAAACAAATTGGCATGGCTGTGTTCCAATAAAACTTTATTTACAAAAACAAGCAACCCTTGCTCAACAGTACTGCAACCACAGTCTTCTTAATCAATCCTACTCCTTATACTGAAATACATTCCACATGCTCCCCACACCTTAGAGAATATAATAAAAATATTGAAGTATCAAAAAAAACCAAAAACCCACCCACCAGTGAATGCTTTTTTAACCATAGGGCGGTAAACATTTTTCTAAGCATTAAAAAAAACAACAACAAAAAAACTAACAAGTTTGAATACATAAAAGTTAAAAATCTCAGCAAAGCAAAATAAAACAATGAAATATCATAAGTAAAATAACAGGAAAAAGCAAAATGTTACCAAAAAAATTAATGCACATGATGGATGAAATGCTAAAAAGAGCTCTAAAAAAAATCATTAAGAAATTACCAAGGGTATGAGGTAAATAATAGAAGGAAAAGTAGAAATGATCAATAGAGAAAAAGATTCCACCAAAATTCCATCAAAACTTAAAAAATAAAAACCCCCCACACAAAAATCTTTTCAGTTATCCAGTAGGCAACACTGCTAAAGACTGCCAATTACAAGCATGAAATACAGGAGCAATCAGATTTCCACAGGCTGTTGGAGGGAATGTAAATTACACTATCTTTTTTAGGCACAAACTGGTCAATCTATCAAAATTAATATGTTTAAAGCTGGCAATTACATTTCTAAACACTTACCCTATAGACAGACTCACATAAGTATACAAAGACTTATGTACATAAAAGTTAATAACAGAATTGCTTTTAATAGCAAAAAACCTAGAAAGGCCCTGACTGTTTACCTACAGAGGATGAGCTAAGTAAATCATGGTAGTTCCATATAAGGGAACAGTACGCAGTGAAGTACACCCTGTCAGGAAGAACTAATGTTAAGAGAAATGGCAAGCTGTAGAACTGTGACTGCCTGTGCGCACCATGACCCTATTTCCACTAACATACAAAGCCTTCTCTGTACCTTTCTATCTGCATATACAGGGCTACATTTTAAGTAGCGGTGTTATCTAGAATGGATGGAAAAGGTACTTTTTCAGTTTAAGGTATTATGTTTCCATATTAATTGAATTTCTTTTTCTTACAGTAAACTTATATTAATTTAGTAGTATTTAAAAGCTGCTTAAAAGGTAAATAAATAAGACAAAATACAAAATGACTGTGTTCCTCCAAAGAGCCTCCCACGACCTTCCACTGCTGGGGCATACCAGCCAAGCTGTTTAGCATGACACACGAGCCATGTGACAGAATGGCCCTGCTTCACTCTTCAGCCTCAGGAAGGAACTTTCCCCACAGAACACTCAAGCCACACTGCGCTGATCAGGCACACTTCAGCCTTCTGAACATGCAGGAGCCTCTGCTTACAATCCTTGCCTTTCCTGCCTAGTAAATATTCGTTCACTTCATCCCTCCACAGGAGGAAAGCACACTCCCTTCTCTGGGACCCCACTCTGCCTTATGCACACACTTCTTACAATACCTATAACATTAACTTCCCTAAGGATGGATATAGCAATAACAATAGTATTGGAAATAGCTAATTAAGTGCCTGCTAGTGCTGGCACTTTGGTGTTTTACCTGCATTATCTCATTTAATCCTCACAATGAGGCTATGAAGTTAAGTATCACTATCTCTATATTACAGGTGAAGAAATGAAGCCACTCTAAGGTTAAGATATTGCTCAAGATCACATAGGTATTAAGAAAAAGTTCTGGGTTTGAAACACAGATGTATCAGACCACACTTGTTTTATTTTTATGTATGTGCATATGTATAAAATCTCCCCATTCGACTGTGAACTTATTAATGACAGAAATCACGTGTTATCTCCGTATCTCTGACAACCAGTATCAAGGGGTTTATGGTAAACACCCAATAAATACTGAAGGCAGGGAGTCTCTTAGTATGAAAAAGGGACTTAAGTGTCATCATCCAGTCCCACCCACTACACAATGCAGGAATCCTTCTTCAACTTCCCTCAAAGATGATCTGTTTATACTTGGATAGTTCCCATGACAAAGAACACTGCCTCAGGAGGCAGCTCATTTTGCACCTAAACAGTTCTCCTAAGAACTTTCCTTCACACTGAGAGAACCTGCCACCTGTTAGCATGTGCAATCTCTTAGTTCTGTCTTCTGGACTTTAAGTTAACAGCACTGTTCCTTTAAATCAATGGAGCTATAGATGTTTGAAGATGGCTATTATGTCTTCTTTCTCCTTTCCCTCACTTCCTCCCTCCTCCCTTCTCTTTTCTAAGCAGAAGAATCTCATTCCCCAAGTGACAGGGTTTCCCCATCCCCCTTCCTTGTGGCTGCCCTCCTCTGGAGGACTTCAGTCTGTCACTTCCCTCTCAAAAGCAGGTCCTACCAAGCGAGGTGCATGTACCTAGAGAGCTAGAAGTGGTCAACAAGTGTCATGATTTCTGCCCTCAGATTCTTAGGAAAATATGACGTACATTAAATAGATAATCAAGTGTTTACCTGGAATTATTTGAAAACTAACCTCTGAAGTTCTCCCACGTATCAGTCATGCTGCTGGGTACTTTAAATGCATTTTATGATTGAATCCTTAAGTGATTTATTATTATTTCTAGTTTAAAGATGAGAGAATTGTCTCAACAAGATCAAGGAACCACCCCAAGTCTCACTGGCTAGTAAATGTTCCAGCCGGGATCTGAACTCAAGTCACCTTGACTTCACAGCCATATTCTGAGCGTGGAGAAGGAGACTGGGGCCACGAGCAGCAAAAGAAGGCTTAGTGGAGAAGCCTTGAAAGGATGTGACTGGTTTCCATGGAGGAATGAGCATGGTGGGGTAGAAGGGGTTAGGGAAGGAAGAAATATGTTTCTGCAAAAGAGTCTAACCATTTCAGATGACAATGTTCCTTTAAAATCGGGCAGAGATGAGGCAGGAGGCAACACGGAGGAGCTGTGGGCTCTTGACAAAGTCAGGAGTAGAAAGCAATGCTTCAGGGAAGTTACGCTGGCAGCCTGGGCAGCATACACTGCAGTGAAAGGGGAATGAAGGCAGAGAGGACAGTTCGGAGCTGGTGCAATAACCTAAGGCCTCAGATGCTTGGGCTGAATTAGGGTGGCAGCTTCAGAAACAGGATGAGCACCACACAGGAGTTAGCAGGACTCCACTGTGCAGTGGGTGGTAGACTGAAGCGGAGAATGGAAAGCAAAGAATGACGCTAAGATTTCTCCTAGAGGACAAGTGAAAAATATTAGCATTGCTAACAGAAATGTGACAACAGAGAGGAGACGGAATCTGCAGAGTGGTGCACACAGAGAAGCTCCTGCTGATGGCAGCGCTCACTTCTGACGCCCAGATGGAGAGGCCTTGTTTTCTGGGTGACATTCTAAAATCACACCTTATTTACAGTCATTCTTAATAAGTCAACATGACGCACAAACCAACTGTGTAAATGACAAAAGGTAATTTCTCTAGAAATGTGATGACTCCTTTGCTTAGCCACCGGAAAGCACTGAGATGGAGTTTCAAAGAAAGTCATCACCTGAAATTACTCCCACTGCTTTAGTTTTACTATGATTCTTCATCAAACTCCTAATGTCCAAGTGCCATCCCCCAAGAAAAAGTTTTGTATAAGTAAACTTGGTCACTGAGGAAAGACGTGTCTGGTTTACCTCCTTTTACCCTGGATTTCAGGCTCAACTCCCTTGAAAAATGAACAAACAAACTAGAAACCCTCTCTGATTGTCTCTATTCTCTACTCCCCAAGCCTCTGTCTCATCTGTTCACGTGCTGACTCTAACTCAGTAACATTATTCACCACTTTCTGTCCTCAGAGTACCTGTGTAACTTTATCGTTTCCCCATTTCTTCTCATTCTTATCCAAGAATGGAGAGACCAGGTCTTCAGTCTGCAGAATGACCCAGAACATATATTCTAAAGTGGCCCAGAATAAGCTACTTCTAAGTTTAGCTATGAGATGGGATGATAATAACAAAGCTTCGCCTGACTCAGGGTGGCTGTAACGACCAAGTGACATAATTATGGGTTAATACCCAAATGCATGCAATCAAATTTGGTGCAGTTTGCTACAGTAAGGCAAAAAATCTGGTTCTAAACCTCCTTTCAGAGATGCACTCAAAATCGCTCCACACCTGGAACAACCCCAGAGGTCCTACAAGAAGCAAAAGGCAGTGAGCTGAGAGTCCCAGTGGCCACTGCGGTTCCACTGCAGGCTAAGCACAGCATGCAGTCCATCCTGCGCAGAACTCAGAAGGACAGAACTCACTATCTCATCACATCTTTAAAGGACAGCAGGTGTACAATCATAAAAGACAGAAATAAGCAGGATAAGTATTCTACTTTAATTGCAAATAAAGAAGAATGTTTTTAGTACAATATGTTTAGTAGAATAGTATTTACAATTCTGAGAAAATAGAATTCAGAAAATCTGACTTCAGATCTCAATTAGAGAGAGAAAAATTATTAATGAGAGGATCCACAGTTTCAAAACATTCCTTTTGGGGCAGTAAATAAAATCAGCTTTTTGTTTAACTATAAATAAAGTTTCAAGTAAGAATCCAACCACACCAGAAAAGCAAAGTACCTGTGAGTTTGATTTTAGACAGTCGAGCCAAAATTCCTGGCAAGTCGTCCACATGCAACTTCATCTCTTTCCACCGCGTTTCTTCTTTGGTCTCTTTTCCCTCATCTATTGAGCCTTCAATTATTGAGGCAGATTTTAGTTCTATCAATTCTGTTTCACTTGGCTTTCTGGACAAAGGTAGGCTAGAAGGTGCAAAAGGCTTCATCTCATATACTTCTGCTTTGGCTTGACTTGAAGATGTTTTCTCAAGGAAAGGAGAGGCCACTGGTTCTGACTTCGGCTTGATTTGCTGGCTGAGGCTTCTGTTCTGCTGTGTGACGTACTAAATGTAAAAAGTACATGTTACTATACAAGGCCTAAAATGCTCTTAAATGGTTCTTTAGTTATATCTTCTATCTGTCCGACTTTTATGGCACTTAAAAGATTTTCCTCCAACTTTATAAATACATGGTATGTGAAATAATATGAGAGTGCTTGTTACGTGGAAATCACTACAGTAAGAGGTAAGCAGAACACAATTAATTCCTTGGCAATAGTTTTCAAATTCTGTGGCTTAGGAAAATCCTAAGAATTTAAGTTCCTTGAAAAAAAAGTTATTTTTATTTCTTATTCATCTCCTCCAGAAGTTCCCCCAATGAAGTGCCAGAAACCGATGGTTTAACATTCAAATACAATGAAAAAGATTTCTATCATGTTCCTCGGCAAACACTGCAGAGAGGCACTCAGTGGTGGTGCACATTCCAGGCCTAAATGACATTCCAGCAGTGTATATGAGGAAAAATCATGGGCTTTAGAGTTAGACAGTACCCATCACTTACTTGCAAAAAGTAATTACTACAAGCATTCAGTGAGGCACTTCACAGTTTCATATGTATATTGTTATATTTTATATAATATATATCTCACTTAAGCTCTGCAACAGTTGTTAAAGAAGATGGATCACTGTTAATACCTCTCTAATTTACAGATCAGGAAACCAAGGCTGAGAAATAAACTGAAAGAGCCAAGAGTGAACAACCAGTTAGTGACAGGTGGCCCTGAGACTTGAAGCTACTACTCTGGAACTAGTTAAGAGACTTTTTCATTACACATTTCTAGTCTTAGGAATTACAACCTCATAAATGAATCCAGAGTTCTGATTACATAAAAAAGGCATGATACATACCTGAGTTCCTCTTCTAAATATCCATTATCCTTGAGCCCCCGGCTTTACATTACCCGGAAATTAAATCTCTTACCAGAACAGTAAGTTTTATAAAACTTGTTAAAGTGGGCATTTTAAGGTAAAAAAAGATGAGAGAAATGTCAAATAAGATTTTGGATTATGAATCTGTTATTATTTCAACTTGCACTATTAAGAGTTTTTAGCTATCATTTCCCCATTCTATGATACTTTTCTATTTGAGAAAATGTCAAATGCCTTCATTGGTAACTTACAGTAAGTTACCATGTTGCCCATAATATCATGGAGCTGACCTAGATACAGGCCTACAAGAGGGCTGAGATATATTATCAATGCCCACTACAAAATGTCAAGCAAAGTACTAAAAACTTAATTTGTTGCATGTGTTAAAAGGCTTTTTGAATGCACTGCTAATGTAAAAAAACAGGAGGGTCACACTGTTAAAGCAATTATTTCTGAATTACTGATATATTAACAGAATTTTAAAGAATTTAAAGAGATGTATTATAACAGTTCAGTTTTCTCTAATTTTAGCCTAGTGAAAATATGCCAGAAATTTTCAGTCTTTCTCCAAACTTAATCAGTAAATTAGAGATCATACTTTTAAGCTCAAACAACAGAACTCTTCTGGTATCAGTTAAGGATGATCAAAACAAGGGATTAAAGTTCTGAATAAATGGAAGAGGACCCTAAATAAACATCCTTTTTAAACAGCACTCCTTACTACTCCTCTTGTAATAGGAATTTCTGAAATCCCCGCATACAGAGAAAGGAAAGGCAGACAGTGGCAGAGCAAGGACAGTCCTCTGAACATACCATGCGCTTGAGGAAGGTGAAGTGCTGAAATGTAATCCACTGCTTATTGATGTTCCTAAAAAGATGCATAACCGTGTGAGGGGATTCCTGCACAGCTCTTCTTTCCAGATACCAGACACATCCTCCAACCCATCCTGTAAAAGAGACAGAGCGGGGAAAATGTTAAAATAATTGCATCTGTCCAGGAGCAATGCCTGTACATGGTAAGCAATGCATATGCCATGGGTCATAGGCTGAAATTATCTAATCCAGATATGAAAACCAACACAATTAATCAGTCTTACTCACTGATAAGTGAGCAAAATTCTTCAACAGGGCTAGAGAAATCTTCCATGTCAGGGTCATTATGCTTTTGTTATATTAAATGCCAAAATGACCACACTATAGGTGTTAAGAAAATATAAAACAATCAGTTCAATCACTTTTTTAAATATATTTTTATTGATTTCAGAGAGAGGAAAGGAGAGGGAAAGAGAGAGATAAAAACATCAATGATGAGAGAGTCATTGATCGGCTGCCTAGCCCGCAACCCAGGCATGTGCCCTGACCGGGAATTGAACCCAGATCGCCTGGATCCTAGGTCAACGCTCAACCGCTGAGCCACACCCAGCTGGGCTTGATCACTTTTTTAAAAGTATAAAATGAGAACCATAATTTTCATCAATAACTGCAAACTTGAAGATAAATTTCTATATACTCTTTTTTACAGCACTTCCTAATACAAACTGTTTTTGTTTGTCTCCACTGTATTTTTTTTAATTTTTTTTTTCNTATAAGAGACAGGGGGGGAGAGAGAGAGAGAGAGAGAAACATCGATGTGAGAGAGACACATGGATTGGTTGCCCCCACCGCATGTGCCCCAACCAGGGCCAGGGATGGAGCCTGCAACAGAGGTACATGCCCTTGGACAGAATCGAACCCGGGACCCTTCAGTCTGCAGGTGGATGCTCTAACTACTGAGCCAAACCGGCTAGGGCTCCTCTGGATTTTTTAGTTCCTTGGGACTTACTCACTTTTGCTACAACAGACAGCAGAGTTCTTTCCATATAACAATGGCATAATGTTTGATGAGTGGATCACCCCCACAGCTTACTTGGACTGGGGGAAGAACGGTTGCTGCCTTTTGGAATATATAGCAATTACGTTAGACTAGAGATAAGTCACTTCTTCAATGAAATCAGATTCTCAAGCCACAGTTAACTATGAAATGCTTATTTTCCATACAGGTCAATGTGATTACCTATATTATGTATACATAAAGGGATAGCAGTGTATTTTTGATGTTTCTTAAAAATCAGTGCTCTGATGTTTCAGTTTTATTTATAATTTTGATGGTGTATATTTTCCCTTTTTGGACTTAACACTGTTCTTTAAGGTAACAGGACTTCAATATTAAATAATTATGTCTAGAAGACATCAAAGTTTTATTGTCTGGCCCTTAATTTCAAAACCAGTTTTTAGTTCTTCAGGTCCAGTGAGGAGTGCTTGCTGCTGGGAGGGAAAGAACCACCTGGAACAATCTCTCTCATCAGATGTCCAAGATGGTGGCAGACTGAGTGGGAGCTATACTGACACTCCCCCAGGACCAAACTGGAATGACAGCTAAAATACAGAAAAACCATCCCGAATAATCAAGTTAAGACTAGCTGGAGAGCACCCTCATAACCAAGGAGAAAAAGTGGAGACGGCCCAGAGACAGGTAGGAAGTGTGGAGGCACGAGAGGGCTGGCCGGGCTCCCACAGGCAGCAGCTGAAGGTCCAGAGGGAGATCTCAGCTGTGGGGGGTTCCCACTGAGGACTCTGGGGCCTAAACCTCAGGCTGTGTTTCCCAGCCCAGAGCACCAGGACTGAGAAAGGTGCCCACATAACTTCTGGCTGAGAAAAGCAGCCAGGTTTCTCTCTGCCAGGGAGAGACATCTGGAAATGCAGGCCCCCTCTTAACGGGCCAACACACAATGTTTCATGTGCAGCCACTCACCTTGGGCTCCGGAGAAGGGAGGGCAGAGTGGACTAAACTGTGTGAGGAGAATCTAGGGATGCTGTCTGGGGGAATAGAGCTCAGAGGGCAGCCATCTGGATCCTTGTGCTGAGTCATCCCCCATACAGCAGAGGACATCTTTCTCAGGCTGACATTAACCATCTAAGCAGCTTTTGCTTGGGGGGGAAGCAATTGCCCTACCCTGATGGAAAACCTCCCACCCCACCCTGTGGAGTTCCTACAGCCTGAGGCTCATTAAGAGACTGAATAACAATCAGCCTCTGGGTGTTTTGACTCTTCCTGACTTGCTTCTGGATCCAGGGCTTGGTGCACATTTTGGTCCTGTCCAAATACATCCAGCCCCAGCAGAGGGAACCATGAGCTGTGCTGTGCAGAACATTTCAAATAGGGTACTCAAGGTCAGTCACAAAGAGCATCTGACATTGGCCTGAACCAGAGACCATCCAAAAGACAGAGAGTCCTAGTAGATCTACCTAATACATAGAAACAAATCCAAACAGGCAGCCAAAATGAGGAGACAAAAAAACAAGCCCCCAATGAAAGAACAAAAAACTCTCCAGAAGAAGAGGTAAATAAAATGGAGATAAGCAATCTCTCAGATATAGAGTTCAGAATACTGATGTAACGATGCTCAACAGCATGAGAAAAGAAATGGAAAAGGTGAAGGAAATAAGAATGACATAGTAGCCCCAACTGGTTTGGCTCAGTGGTTAGAGCATTGGTCTGTGGACTGAAGGGTCCTGGGTTCCATTCCAGCCAAGAGGATGTACCTCAGTTGCAGGCTCAATCCCTGGTCCTGGTCCAGGCACATGCGGGAGGCAACCAATCAATGTGTCTCTCTCGCATTGATGTTTCTCTTTCTCTCTCCCTTCCACTCTTTCTGAAAAGCAATGAAAAAAATATCCTCAGGTGAGGATTTGAAAAAGAAAAAAAAGTGACATAGTAGAAATTAAAAAAAAAAAAAATCTGAAGGAATAAACATCAGAGTAGCAGAAGCTGACAACTGGGTCAGAAAATTAGAAAACAGAGTAGAAAAAATAACTCAATCAGAGATCAAAAAAGAAAAAAAAACAATTAAAAACAGGAGCACAGTTTAAGGGAGCTGTGGGACACCATGAAACGTAACAATATTCATATTATAGGAGTGCCAGAAGATCTAGAAAGTAAGCAAGGGATAGAGAACCTGTTTGAAGAAATAATGGCAGAAAACTTCCCTAATGTGGTCTAGGAAAAAGGCACACAAGTTCAGGAGGCACAGAGAGTCCCAAGCAAGAAGAATCCAAAGAGGCCCAGACCCAGACACATCATAATTAAAATTCCAAAAATTCAAGACAAAGAGAGAATCTTAAATGCAGCAAGAGGATAGCAATCTCTTACTTACAAAGGAGCTCCCATAAGGCTGTCAGCTGATTTCTCATTAGAAACTCTATAGGTCAGAAGGAAATGCTATGAAGTATTCAAGGTAATGCAAAACAAGGATCTGAAACCAATACTCTATCCAGCAAGGCTACCATTCAAAATAGATGCTGAAATAAAGATCCTTCCAGACAAAAAAAGGCTAAAGGAGTTTATCACCACCAAACCAGCATTGTAAGAAATGTTAAAGGGACTGCTATTATAAGAAGTTGAAATAGAGAGAATGAGAAACATAGACATAAAGAAATAAAATGGCGATAAGTACCTATCTATAATAACCTTAAATGCTCCAATGGAAGGACATAGGGTAGCTGAATGGAAAAGAAAACAAAACCCAAATATATGCTGTCTACATGAGACCCACCTCAGAACAAAAGACTCACACAGACTGAAACATACACACACAAACAAACAAAAAAACTTCTGGAGGACTTTAAAGGAGAAATTGACAGCAATACAGTCACAGTAGGGGACTTTAACAGCCCACTGACTTCACTGGATAGATCTTCCAGACAAAAAATCAACAAGGAAACAGTGATTCTAAATGACATACTAGATCAAGTGGATTTAATTGACATTTACAGAACATTTCATCTCAAAGCTGCAGAATATACATTCTCCTCAAGTGCACATGGGACATTCTCCAAGACAGACCACATCTTAGGACACAAAACAAGTCTCAACAAGTTCAAGAAGATTGAAATCATATCAAGCACCTTCTCAGACATTTACACCATGGAATACTATGCAGCTGAAAAATGGAAGGGTCCCTTACCCTCTGAGACAGCATGGTGGGACCTGGAAGGTATTATGCTAAGGGAAATAAGCCAGCCAGAGAAAGACACGATCATACTTATATGTGGAATCTAATGAGCAAAATAAACCAATGAACAAAATAGATCCAGAGACATAGAAGCATGAAACAGAGTGATGAATCTCAGAGGGAAGGCAGGTGTGGGTGGGTGGAGAGAGATTAACCTAAAAATTTATATGCATATATGTATAACCCATGGACACAGACAATAGTGTGGTGAAGGCCTGGGGGAAGGCATGGGGGGGGGTTGTCAATGGGGGAAAAAAGGGGACATTTGTAATACTTTCAACAATAAAGATAAATTTTTTAAAAATCTCTCATGACTAAGTGGGCGAAACTCAGATTTTACAGAATGGCAGTATGAAAAAAACAATCAGCTAGGAGACTGCACTTTTAAATGATGAAAATGCTTCATTTAGTCAAAACATGTTACATTTGTATGAATCAGTGCCTAGAAATTCAAAGACATTTCAGCCCTTTGTAAACAAATTTAGATTAAAAGATACACAGGGTTTACAACAGATACATTAAAAATCTGGAAACATGTAACCATATCCATTATTCACCATCAACAATGAGTCATGAATGTAGAGGTTTGAAAATGAGGTGAGCAGACAAGTAACTGAAGGTCCTGAATTTTCTTTTAATGGCTATAAAATACTTGAAATTTTAAAAGCAGAATCAGACAGGACCACAAGATACCTAATATAGTTCCAGATTACCTCTCTGCCACCCCTTTTCACCATGGCTCTTTCATATCAAGCTCTTGTACTGGGTCTTCCAAGTGGAACAGAGTAAGTCATACAGAGTTTTTGGCAATTATGTTCATAGCTTCAAGAAGCTAAGCTGTTTATTAATTCCTCTTACCAGCATTGAAAAGAATGATCAAGCTACAAACCATGTGGAACCTATGTATATGTAGCCCACTTACTGGCCCTGGGGGATTCTGAGCAGGCAAGGGCAACTGTCCTATAGAAAGCTGGAAGTATGGAACTGAAGGGCAGAAAACCACCTTAGTCTCAGGAACCGGAATTAGGAAACCCTCCAAACAGAGGCGATAATTCAAACAATAAGAAAGGCAGAGCTCTCTGAGAATGAGTGTCTAGAGTCAGGATCAAAGAACACTGACAGTCAGGGATGGTAGAAGGTAGCAAGTAATTCAAACAGAAATCTCAGACCTTAAAAAACAACAACACTTTATTAAGGAAAACGTCAGTCATATACAAAAACAGAATACAATGAGCCCGCTACTTTTCCCTCAGCTTCAACAATTACCAAACCACGGCCAATCTTGTTTCATCTATACTCCCTCCTCCTTCCCGCCCTCTTCCCGACTTTCGAACCAGAAGGGACCTTTGAAACCATCTAATCAAATTGCTTCACTTTATAGATGAGTAAATTCAATTCCAGAAACATCAAATTATTTGCTCTGAGATCACACAGACCAGAAAAGACCCACGAAACAACAGTGCCGTGAGGAAAAAGGCATTTCGGACGCACAGCGGTCAATATTGCCAGGTGCTGGGGTGCTCGTGACACGCGGGGCCTGAAAACAGTCAACGGCATTTGACCAAACAGGAGCCCCTGGAGTCCCCTGTCCATCCCCAACATGGGCCAGCTGCGACACAGGCCCCACCTAGCCATTACCTATCCTCCTAAACTACTGGGGGCAAAGTAATTCTGAGCCTCCTCTCTAACGGCTCCATCGGGGCAAATTTCATTCATTCACGAATAATCACCGAGAGCCAACAGTGGACACCAGGTACGGTTCTGGGGGCACTGGGGTCAAGGAGGCGAGGCCGAGAACGGCCCCCACCCTCACGACGTTTAATCCTGGTTGGGAGAAACATCCGATAAGCCGCAGAGAAACAGCCAATCACCGGCTGCGCTAACCGCGGAGGGAACCCGGCGACGCGAGACGGGCCGGAGCTGCCCGAGGAAGGGAGGCCGGGTCGGCGTCTCCGAAAAGGTGACGTCTGCGCCAAGGCCTCGCCAAGGGCCACGAAAGCGCCTTCCCCCTTCCACATGAAGTTGTGACGCGTTTTTCAGGCGGGAGGATGACAGAAGGGCCACGCGGAACGGTCCGACGCTCCGGGGCGCGGCCGCAGCTGTCACCACCTCCATCGCCGTCGCCACCACCGCGCCCCTCTACACCGCCAGCAGGCTGCGGAGGGGCGGCACGGCGCTCCCCCCGGCCTCCCCCGCACGCCCGCGGCTGGGAACCGAGGCCCTGACGAGCCCCGGGGCCCCTGGAGCCCCGAGGTCCTGCCCTGTCCTCTCTCCAGCCCCCACTCCGTGAAACCAAAAGCGGGACCGGACAGCGGTCCTCCCGGGGAGCGGGACAGAAGCCCGTGCACCACCCGCCCCGCAGCGCAGCCCAGACCCCAGGTCCACAGCCTCTTCTCTTCAGGCTCCTCCAAAGGTCACACCCGCGCTGCTGCCCCGCCGACCTCGCCGAGGGCTCCCAAGGTTGCAGCCAGCCGGGACGACGTTAAAGTACGTGCCAGGAACAAGAGAATTACCCCAAAGTGGTGCCCCAGGGCGGTGCAGTACCTGTCAGGAGGCGTGAGGAGAGAGTGTGCGGGGAGGCGGCCATAACGCGCGAGCCTGGCCGCTCCCGGGGATCCCCGTGTCCTCTCTCCTCACCGGTTGCTGGGCGCCGCCATCTTCCTTCCCCGCCCCTGGAGGAGAGAGCCGCTTCCGGTGCGTCACTTCCGGGGGCAGGACGCGGAAGGGAAGGGCCGTGGTTAGTAGCGAGTGGAATGGGAGCGGCGTGAGAACGCGGGACTGAAGGTCAGAGGCCGGGCGTGCTTTCGGGAAACGCGAGCAGCTCGGTGCGGCCACGTCCCCCGGAAAAAAGGCGGTGGCGGAAGGCGGGCCCGCGCCCCCTGCGGCTGCCG